CATAAATAGAAGTCTGTGATGATGAATTGTGAGAACTTGGAAGGAAATTTTGTGACGTATAGCATCTGCTTGGAGAGAAGGAAGAACACGAAAAACCTGTCAGGATATAAGTCCTTGACTAAAAAGTCTTATATTTTGTTGTACTGGTCGAGAAGTGCCTTTCTACAGGTCGATCACTCATGCAAGTAGTCCTACCAAATTTCTAAAGCTCTAAGTCTCGAAAGTAAGCAGTAATTTTAACCTATTTATTCAGAATTTGTCTTATTAAATATGTCAAGGTATTCAGAAATTACAAAAGCGAAAACGAAATACTCACAAATGCGCCTGGTATGCATTTAGAGTGTAATTTTCTTCCATTTGTCTAATTATAATTAATGATCAATAATAAATAAATAAAAGAAGTTAGACCGTATATATCGAAATATTTCGCAAAATATTTAATTTGCCAAATTCATTACACCCGTTTAACATGAGAAAGCCGATAATTGTATACCGACCACCTACATTAATAAGAAAGGCCCGGCCAGCGAGCCTATCACTTCTAAGAACGTTTGAACATCCCTAACTTAAAATATCTACACTTCTAAGATTTTTGAACAGATCAGAGAACTTGTAAATTAAAGATAAACAATTTGAAATTTAATATTCTTTGCAAAAACATATGTCTGTAATTAATTAGTAACATGTTACAAAGGCCTCCTCTTGAAAACTCAAGTGTTCTTCATTTTGTTGTAAAATCCGAATTTTTATGTAACAGTAACTTCACAAGTTAGTGAGACTTAAATGAATTAAAATATTTGTCGAACATTCGCAAGAATATTGCACTTCTGGTCTTTGGCGTCGTGTGGACTCGTCGATAGATGCCAACGTTTCGGAGAAACGTGCTGTTTCCATTCAGCTCAGAAGACCTGAAGATAGACACAGCGTATTTCTCCGAAACGTTGGCATCTATCGACGCCAAAGACCAGAAAAACATCACAATCATCCTCACGCCGTGAAAACCTAAAATTCCATATACTTGCGTAACAATTTAATTTATGAGTTACCCTGTAATACGTCACGTAGGCCTGTATCATGAATATGCATTCTAACTGTGACACAAAGTTCGTATGTTGTTACAAAATATGCTGAATGAGTCTACCGTTCTCCGTAATTCAGTTTTGCTGGCGCCATTTTAATGTGCGCCATGTTTCACCGAGGTGGTTAGGAATGTCAAAAACACCTGCCGTGATGTATCGGTGCTGAAACAGATACCCTGTTGTATTCAGTAAGATAATTAAAATATCCTGCCTTCGTATATTGTTGCACATTTCAATAGCTGTGCCTTCTAAACAGTTCGACAGCATTAGGCAATCCTGCGTATTCGAGATTTATGTATTCGAATTTAAGCTAAGATCCTGAATGAGATTCCTCATATATTGGCTCATTAACAACAGGTAAATGATAGGTGTTCAGTGGGCTACGAGTAATTTTTAACATCATTATCAGTTTATCTAACTAATTAAATTAACCTGATATAGCAAAACCCTTCTTGAGAAATGAGACAAGTCGTTCAGGGAGTTAAGGTAATTTCTTCTTCTTACAGAACACAAAGTATTATTATCGTCGTCACAACAGCCTATAACTGGAAACTATTCTCAGCCAGATAAAAACCATTAAACTTTGCATACCGTGTAGTGTATTAGAATATCAAATAAGTAACAAACAACTATTAACACTATAAAAAAGACACGCCATACGCGTTTCAACTTCAAGAGGTCATCATCGAATCAATAGCTAAGTGCATAATTCTACTCTGTGAATAACAACACCTAGTGCAGTATCGTTTGAAAAAAACTTTTGTGAAACACCTTATTTATTTCTAAATCCAGTTTGAACCGTTTGTTTAAATGAATTGATTACCCAGATGCAACTGATGATGACCTCTTGAGGTTGAAACGCGTATGGCAATAGTGTCTTTTTTACAGTGTTAATAGTTGTTTGTTACTTATTTGATATTCAGATAAAACCAGTTCATATTCTTAAGCCCTACATAAATTAAGACTTTACACCCATCTATTCCTACTCAAACTTTGTATGCATTTTGCCAACGGATGTTACAACCCCAATGAACCATCCAATCCTCCTTGATTTGATTATTATAACAATACAGCGTGAAGAATGAAGCTGGCGTGAACACAATAAGAACTTTGGCAAACTGCACTTATTACTAAATAATCACTATAATGGCGATCGAAAGGATGAGGGTGGCAATTAATGTAGAACGCATAGGAAATACGAGAAGTGTACTTGATTTTGTATCACCTGCAAAAGAGAGAGCGTAAAATATAATAAACCAAGAGACGCCAGACCCATCTGGGCAAAGCGAATTAAATTTTTGCAATCATAAACCTCAATGGAGTCTATGAAATTGTAGAACTTATGTTCGTTACATCAATATTACAACAGATTGACACTTGTGGTCACGTGCTTTATCACCTGATCAAGGGATTTAACTTCATACCCTATTTACTACACGCACGGAGTGAAAGAAACACGAACACAAGTGTGAAAGCTAGTACGCAAACAACTGGCGGTTGCAACAAAGGATTTATTAATTCTGAAAACCATGTCACAACTATCTACCGATCGGTGTTCCAGTGATAAAAAAAGGCGCTTACGTTTTGTCCCTACGGACGTCTGTGTTTCCCCTTACTGTTTTCCACCCGCCTGCTGTCCTGCTGTAAAGAACAGATACCGCGCGAACTAAGCTTCCGGGATCGTTCCAGGACTGGGTGCCGCGTTGTCTCCGCCTGCTGATTCTGCTATTTCATTCTCTCCACAAACCTGAACAGCAGAGCCAATGCCGTCCTTCGTTAACTTTGCCTTAGAGTGAATCGGAGGTGTTGTATTTGTGGCTGTCTTTGGGTTGTTGCGCCGTGTGGTCTGGTAGATGCTGACCGATATTTCAGAGGTTATGGAACGTCGGTAAACGTCTAACACACTACATGCCACAACAACCTAGAACAATGGTATTCAACCTTTTTTTGTTCGCGTACCCCCAGATATAATTTCTCTTCAACTTTGTACCCCCAAAGTTGTTGGTGTATAATTTAAGTTATACATAGTATATAATCTACATCTAAAATAAATTAAATAAATTACATTACTGATTATTCAGTGTTTATTATAAAAAATATATTTTTTTTAATTTCACGTACCACCTAAGATGTCTTCGCGTACCCCCGGGGGTACGCGTACCCCTGGTTGGAGACCACTGACCTAGAAGACAACCATCTTCATAGTCGCCGCCGTGAGAATGCGAAATCGAACATACGAGTTCTGATGCTGCAATGCATCAGCCATCTCATTTCAAGTCTATATATAATACGCGATGTATTCCCTTTATTCCTAAGTGGGTTGATTTTACTTAGTACGTTTTCAGATATATAAGGGACATGTATTCCTGTTTACTTCTTCATACATCAGACTTTAACATATCGCGTCCGAATTGTTAATAATGTCGTTTAATCTCAAAACTATAGAAGTTTAACAAGAACAGAATTTTTCTTACAAAACTCTCGGTCACTTTGAGATAATCCAGTCTTGCCCCCGAGAATAAATAAATTTGCGTCTTCATTTATACTTTAATTCTATCCATACGTGTGTCTGTTCGACTCGAAAATAGATATTAAGGAAATATTTTGATACTTAGGTTTTTCCAGGCTTTGTCAAGCCAACTCAGCTATGCATTTATAACCGTTTAACATAGTACTATTAATTACGGATTATTTGGCTACCGATATAACTTCTTTGAGTGATTACATAATAAGTGATAATTAAGTAAACTGAAAAAAGTATTTTTCAAAATAATTATTACTCCTGTGTTTTACTCTTGGCACACTGAACAACTATAAAGACCGCTATCAGGAAAACCAGTGAATTGCCTGGAAATCCAAGAAGGTATAGTCAATGTTTAACTCTGGCTTTCGAGAATAAGCTCATCGAGGTTTCATTGTATTCTAATGTTTCGGCAACTACTGGAGATGCCATCCTCAGGGCGAATGTACGTGCGAAGATAAGGGGGTCGTCTTAAAGACCCAACCGTGGCAGTTGAGTGGGGTGTGAATGATGTGACGGGGCCAGCAGAGGAGGTAGATTCTAACCATTGAGGAGGTACCACATGGTTCGATAAATTAGGTGACACAGTCGTAGATGTGAGGATAATATTAAGCTAGATCATTAAGTGATAGGTTATGAAAGTGTGAAATAGACTGAAGTATTTTAGAATGGCAGTTTTAAGTGAAAACGATGACGAGCCTTCCGTTTCTATAAAAAAACAGAACGTTTTAATTGGCTGAACAACTATCAGCTGGTCAAGGGAACCCTATGCCATGAAGATAATTACTTTCATAATATGTTAGCCTAAAGAAATTTAAAATCGATTTGGACGTGAAACTCCTTTGTGAGAATTCTTAACATGTGAATGACAATTCCATTAATATGGTGTCAATATGACTATACTGTGATTAAGAGACGTCAGGAGCGAGACAGATATTTGCGTTTGCAGGAATTTATCACATCACTGAGTAATACCTGTTATATTACAAAATGGATTTGTTACTGTGAAATTCGAGGTGTCATTCATAAAATTACGCAATGGACACGAATGTTGGCGCTGTTTTAAATATCTGAGCTGAGCTATTTGCCTTTTTCAGGCATCGGCGTGTAGTTTCCAAAGAACAGCGACGAAGCATAATGGACAGCGGGGTGGTGGTTGTACATGGAGCGGGGAGTCCAAGGCGGGGGGTGACTGCGGGTGAATAAAGCCTTTCATTCTGAAAGCAGCTAGCTCTACTCCCACGTTCCCGCCAAAACAGAATAGTTTCATCCCTCCCCTCCAAGCTGCGAGCCTATCGATATTATGCATCCCGCGAAGTTGTGCGCAAGGCAAGGCTTGCAGAACAGGATCAATGCTGGCTCCGACTGCCATGGCACTCGCAGCGAGCGTGGGTGGCGAGGAGACCAGCCTCTCAGGTGTCGATGTAACTGGTAGCCAATCGACACAAACCAGGAAGACGACGCGCACTTGAATCGTCTTTCAGCTTTTGAGCAATACGCGCGCACAACTGTACTTGACAACCGAACCTTTAGGGGGGGAAGGGCTCCATATAAAAGACTTTGCCACTTCGTTAAGTTGGCATTACTACTTTCGGGCTTGTCATCCAGAGTTAGGGACCTGCCGATTTAAGGACAGACAGACGGACGAACGAACGGCAAGAGAACAGACGACAGCCCACCTGCCGGACTAAAAGCACGATTTCTGGCGGGAATTTGAAACCCGTTCATAGCAGCAAGGCGAACACTTTAGGGTGCAACACATAGGCATGCCTATTTTCAGGTGATAGAGAAGAGAGAACACAGACCGCAGCGAGCACCTCTCACCCACCACCACACTACCACAGAAACTGCACCAGTACAGCACCAGGTAAGGGAACGAACACACGTGGCAGGCAGACCCATTTATTGTATTGCTGCGTCGTAAGACCAGACTGCATACAAACCTGCACGTCTCTAGGTTTCAGCTTCAACCACAGTCAAGTTTTGCAGTTTTGCGAAAGACCTTAATTCAGGCAGTAAGGTGAAACAAATCGGAGCATTTATTTCTGAAACACGTTATATGTTACTTTTAATAGCGTTTATAATTCACGGCAAAAGAAATGTGTATAGTCGTTTATATTTTAGCGAAAATCTGCCACCTGACATACATCTCGTGAATTGAAGTCTCCATGCATTTGTTATGCATCTAAAGCAAGGATTGCACACAACGTAAGGACTTCAGTGAAGTCCTTCGTGTTGTGCTACTTCGGAATGTGCACTGATCTTCCTCCACAAGTTATAAATATCCACAGTATGAAACCATTTGACAGAAACTTCAAAATCAATACAATTTTGTAGCGTTAGATTTATATGAATCAACTGCATCTGTGCTCCAATTAGAGACAAGTCTGTACACTTAAAATGCAGCAGAATACAATAAAACATGCGATTATACGAACTTCCTGCAGGGTAGCCGTCGCAGCTTTTGATTCTCAAGAAACGTTTTAAATCGTCTGCAGTCTACACCAAAAGCGCCAAGCAGAATGTTTTCTGAAACAATGCCACGTTTTACGTGCAACCACATCATTTTAATTACCATATGAAACTTTTTTGAGTACTTCTGCACTTTTCAATTAAGCAGACACTAGTTTAGCACCAAGGAAAAAGATAATATGAAAGTTGTTCACATTCCCAATATAAATAGTGGTACAAAAACAAAAATAAAACGGTAAACATGATTAATTTTTTGCTATTTTAAATACCACCAACAACGCACTCCGTTCATTTTAAATGTTTAAATTTTCCCAGTCAAATTACATTATAATGCTCGTACATATACATTCAATTTGGAAAGTAGGTAATACAGATTCGGTTGTTATAATATTTAGTGGCAGTATTTTCCTAAATTGTCTGCAGAGGATTAAATTTTGTTTGTGTGTCCCTTGTCCTATTCTCCCTCACATAAATTCGTATCTGCGGTTTTTACAAACGGAAGCATTCCCGAAAATAAGATTTTTACAACAGAATTTTCTATATAACTCACGCATTTTCACGTACTTAAAACAAAAGTATTCATTGCAGATAATTATAAACACTTTCAGAAGATAGCCAATTACGTAAATTGTTATTATACTTATAAAATCATTTAATTACAGTTATTCATAGAATATTATAAAATGTTATTAGCCTACCTTAGTTTGGATTATGATGAGATTACTTGGAATTGTTATATTTCTATGGTTTTATGAAGTTCAAGAAATGTCAATAATAATATAAACATAGGTTTCCTTTGAATGGTTTCAATTTCTATAACAATTTGTTGTAACAGCCATTCGCGCATTAAATTTTTGTGCAGATCACAAATAATTTTCTAAATCAAAATTATCCTGTGGATATTCTGTACTCGTGAGGCCGAACTTATCAAAGAAATTTTCTGACATATAGCAACGCAGACAGCAGATATAATTTAAAGTGTATTTAACTTCGATTTCGGGAATAGGTTGCGTGGAATGTTGATAGTTATTCAACGTTTCGGCAAACACTGTATTTTCCATCTTCAGGGTGAATGTGTAGAGGTTGGGCGTTTCTGGAAGTCTTACACAGGGCAGGCAGTGGATGTCGATCCACATATCAGTGCCATGAAATTCTGTTTACCATCAACTTCCTGTCCTATGAAAGGCTTCTAAAAATGCCCAACCTCTACACATTAACCCTGAAGAAGACAAATGTAATGTTCGTAGAAACGTCGGATAACTATCTACATTCAACTCAGCCTGTCCCCAAAACCCGTAGTTTCACATTGAACTCCAGACGCGAAAACTTGAGGACAACAGATATAATATTACACACATCGCAACAAGTGAGATGAGAGAAAAATTTTCATTGCATTATTTACCTATCAACTAAAGAATTATTACAAATAACTTCTGTTCGTTAATTTCTGCGATAATATTTCTGAGAAGATCGCTAATATTACTAAAATTTCCGAACATATAACATCGCAACATCCGTCTGTATACACATATATGAACATTCAAAAACCTATATGGAATGTGCATAAAGAGACAATACCGAATTAAAATGTTCATAACAAAGGCCACACCTATATCTGTCGTGTAGCTGACTGAGTTCAGTATTCCAAAAACGCTGTAACACGAAATTTTCTCCTTGCCCAGCCTCCAGACAGCCTCTGTGGCTCACATGACCTCATATCCATTGAGTACAAAGGGTAAAGCGAGAAGAGCGTGACACTGATTACCACTTATATGCACTTCCGAGGTTAAGAATGCTAGGAGATTGGCCTCAAACCCCCATATGTCGTCATGATGTGATTCTTAAGCACTGGAGAAAAATTACTTCTACCTGTTGCTAAAAATCTATAGTTTCGAATGTTATAGAGGTGCCAGCACAATGCAATGAGATAGGACGAGCATGTGTTCCGCACAGCAGAGATGAGAAACAAGTTTATTTTGGTTTGAAGGACTGGAGAAAAGAAAACCCGGTCGTAACTGTTAAAATGGTTCTCAGAGAAATAGGTGATTGGATAAATGTAGCTCAGGGTAGGGACTGATCTTACGAGCAAAGTAATTATATCACGGGTTCCATAAAATTTGGAAAATTTCTTGACTGAATTTGTTATCAGCTTCTCAAGAAGGACTCTGCTCCATAAATTTATAAAATTTGGAAGTGACTCTTATAGTGAACTTGTTAAGTCTAATTATATTAATTTTTGTTTTAAACGGCGACTGACCTGTTGAGTTGTCCAATATAGGTAGCAACAATCATGCATGCACGGAGCGTGCCGCAAATATGATTTTACCTATTAAACATAAATAGTACATTTAGCAGCAAAACGAATAAATTTTTAATGTTAAGTATAGGACATCGAAACGAAACTACCGTGGGCTGGAGTGTACTAGCATTCTCATATTTTAGTCCACTCTCTGTAACATTCTCATAACAAACACGTATCTTCGTCAGAGCGCACCCATTTTCTCGTTAGAGACTTCAGTTGTTTGTCGACTTATCTTGGCACATGTGAGTATCTGAATAAAATAATAGTAATAATAATAATAATAATAATAATAATAAAGAGCAAACATTAAATAAGCAAACTTGCACAGTGGTTGAAGCACAAAATTTAATAGATTATATCACGATAGTTGTACTCTAGATTTTTAAGAACAAATAAGTAGTAATAATTAATAATATGGACATTAAGTTTGAATAGATAAACGTAAATACACAGACTTATTAATAGGTGGAATGTGTACTGTAATTACGGGCGATTAATAGAGGGTAATATGCCCAACTTTTAAGATAGTGACTGATAAAAACAAATAACTGAGAATAGGTGCCTAAAGGCAAAGTCATTAAGACAGAAAGAGAAGTACAAACTGTTAATTATAGACTGTATTTTTGAGTGACAAACGCCATTTCAATAAATTAGTGACATACTATAATTTAGGAGAATAGATTAAAGATTTTCTTAGAGCAGGAAAATAATTTAAGTAACCATAAAAGAAAGTGTGTAAAACAGAAGGACAAGGACCAGGGAGTTGCTATCCACCCTCTAGAACTTGCGTCAGACTGAATAAATACATACATATAGAGTTATTATCGGATTGTATACACAAATTCAGATAGGGACGATAATTCATTCTGGGAACATCTGTGGCCCAAATTCAGAAGACTTCTGAAGGACAACATTTTGTTCTATTGGCAGCAGCAGAACTATTTTAATATTAGCGTGAATATGAAAGTTTTCTATTGGCAGTCACAGAAGTGTTTTAATACTGGTGTAAATGTTTCAACATTTAGGAAGCAATTTCAAACAGTAAAGCTACACTAAGTACTGTTATGTATTTTTTTTATTTTACACGGTGAAAGGCAATTTAATTTTATGGGAAAATTTTGTTTTATGTTCATATATATTTCCAACTATTAATAAACTAGGGATCTAGTGAATACGTTCTACACTAATACCACCTCTCTTAAAATTCACCTACATGGGAACGAAATAGGAGAAGGCTTTGAACACAAGTCAACTTGCCCGCTGGCTTTACTGGGCTGGACTAAATTGATATTTGAAGAGATCACTGAAAAGAAGCGTGTCTCGCCATCTCTCAACAGCAGTTTCTCAGCAATATAAATTATGCGTTGTCATGGAGATATAATAACAGAATAAGACTTCTTTGAATAAAAAGACAGCACAGAAACTACAAATATGAGGCAACACTACACCAACGACAAATGGCGTGTAGAAAATATACAGTTACTACAGGTTTATTTTAATATTTTCAATGCTGATTAGCCCTTTTACGGCAAAACTCGTCCAAATAACATTTAAGAATTCGGCCCACACCTGAAAACACAATAATTCTACATTAAAAATATCAAGTGTTTAATGTTGTTTAAATAAATAATGTTTGAGAATCATATGAAGCACATAAATGAAAAATTCGGAATTACTGAATATTAAATCAGATGGTTCATATTTTTACCAAAAATTTAAAGGGTTAATAAATGTTTTCCGTTTAAGACTCTGAGAGTCAAATACAGAATGCACCCATCCGTTAAACTATTTGCATCTTAACTCATACATACAATCTGTCCTTTAATCTGACAGTTACTAAATTGGGTGTTTTGATGTAAATTTTTAAATGTTAACGTTCTAGAATTTTCCATGCTACAAACCAGACACGTATTGGTTGAATCTGAGTTTCTCACAGCTGTGAGTACGAAGGCTGTATTCTGGGTTGTAGCACTGTATTGTCTGGTAAAAGTTAATCAATGATTCAGAGGTAAGACGCTTTTTGATAAACTTCTATCAGACTACACGGCGCTGCAACCCAGAAGACGGACATCAACATGTCGATTCATAACCCG